TACATTTAACCGCAACCAAGAATTTAAAAAAAAGTTGCGCAAGGCTGGCAACTGGTACGGTGTTCTTCAGAGGTAAATCGCCTCTATGGGTACTACTTCAGAACTCTTTGATCACCAAGAATTTAAAATAGAAAACAGGAAAATATAGGTATTTTGGAGATATTGGCTAGGGGAAACCCGGACAAAGCTAATTTCGTCCGTTACATCTAAACTATCAGCACTATCGACAAGAAGGAGTAAAGTGTAGGATAATCGGTGGTTATTTGACTACCAAACAAAAATTGCGTTTTTTTTCAAGAAAAAGATTTTGCAATATACTGATTTTGCAGATGGGTGGCTGATCGCCTTTCTGATCGAAAGATATCCATCGTGATTGACAAGTTCTCATCTTCATCCCATACTGTCCCAGGGATCGGTATTAGCCTCTTTATTGTTCGTCTTACATATCAACCACCTTATTTCCTGTGCGATCAATCCCATCTACAACTTTAGTGATGACAGCACTCTACATGCATAGATATAGAGCGATAAGTGAAGACAAGAAGACTAGTAGCGGCTCCTTCTCTGAAGAAAGGCCTGGAGCTTATCACTGTTTGGGTACGCAACAGTCTGGTACAGCTTAATGCCCCCAAGGCACAGTGTCCCATGACTAACAAGAACGAGTTTTACCAAAGAGCCGTTTATTTAGGATAATCGGAATCAGATCACTGAGGACTCGATCTGGCACAAGCACAACTCGTCAATAGCAGCAGCTGATAGGTAAAAGCTATGCTCTACTTTTCCTACATAACCTCCTGACTCTGCAAACCTAGCCTCGAGTACTGCTGACATGTCTTCTCTAACGGAGAGTCGCGGGACTATTTCTCACCGACGGGTTGCCGGCGATGTAGCTCTCTTCAAGCTGTCAACGGGCTTTGCTCCTCAGGGCTCTCCTCCATGATGCCGCCGCGCGATGGGCCTGCCAGATAGACCCGACTTCGGCTTTTCATCAGCATCATTTGACAAATCGATTCTTTTTTCAGTATTTCTACTATAACGGTCTGTTAATAATTGAAACAGCGAAAAAAATAGAGCTGGGCGCTTAAAATTGGTCCATTTAGGGTGAGGTCGACATAAAACTTTTGGTAGATTTTGGAAGACCTCTTTGTTTTTTACGCAAGTTATTTTGAGTAAAAACGGAAAAACAGAAGTTCGGCTAGGGGCTAGGGATCAAAGATTACATTTTTGTTGGCTCTCTCATAGGAAATTAATGCAAGACGCTAACAGATCATAGGAAAATATAGCTCCGCAATTTGACTAAACTGAGTTGTAATGTCAGTAGAACAGGGTTGCATCCTCTACATTCTCATATTGTCCGTTGACCTGAGAATCCTTGTGTCGTAAGTTCAGGACAAGGTGAGTGCTTCCATAAAGGTATTAACTAAGGTTAAAGAGATCAGGTACCAAGAAAGTTAGGACACAAATACGACAACGGATCATTGCTGAATACAGGACAGGAGGGAACCAGAGAGAAAACCTAAGAGAAACAGCTTGAACAGAAATTTGAAGGAAGTAAAAAAAGACAAGATGAACCTTTTTAATTGACTTTGTCCCATCAGCATTGTTTTGGACAACTACTGTTGGTTTTTCAGATGAAATTTTGTTTTACACTCACTAAATTTTTCATGAAGAAAAAAAATTCTTAAATATGCATAACTTCAATGAATACATCTGTATTTTGATTTTACATATGTACATAGATATTATACAAAATAATACAACCATCGGAGGGGGGAAAATAAAAGATGCACTTTGTAGACCTGTGTATGTTCTTTTTGACGTAATAGAGTAAGTAATATTTTCACATTTCTTAATTTTTTTTGTATAACTGAACCCATAAAGCAGCAGCATTATGTTTGAACCCATTTATCATTGGGACCTCTGCACTTGTAAGAGATATGGAGCCTCTTAAATTGGGCAAAGTTGTAGTAGGTAATCAACAAAGCGCCGCTTAGAAATTTCTGAAAAGAGACGTAAATATCTAATTTTCCCAAAATCTTTGACTTTTTTTCCTAACTTTATTTGTAGTGGGATTCCAAAATAAATTGCACAATAACTTGCCACTTTTTCTCCTCGATGAGACGGTATAATTAGAATTTCGATATGGCGTTTCGTCTCTTGCCAAAAAATGTATAACACTTTATTTATTACCTTAGTTATTTCAAAAAAATACAGAATTTGTTTCGCATATCAAAATTATCCCAAAATCACTTTAATTTTTTCCTGACATTATTTGAGAAGTGATTTCAAAATACATTGCATTTTGTCATTGTCACTTATTCTCCTCTACCAGATGACGTAGTCAAGTTTTGAATTCGGCATTTCTTGTTTCGACTTCCATCGCCAACTTTGTATTTTCATAAGGACGCTATATTGGAATTTTGAATGGTCTTCTCAGTCCGAAATTCAGTGATGTATTTCCTTAGTTGGTTATTAATTGATAATTGGATGAAGATTATCAGGAAATAACAGGGTATGGTGCAATTTGAACACAAAATGAAAATGTTATTGATGGTACTTAATACCAATAATGATCATGAATGAGCAGAGGTAAATCATAGCAGATGTTCAAAATGTTATCCGCTATTTTGTAGGCAAAGCGTGTTTCTTGTCCGTACAACATTCACTGCTCGACTTATTTCTCTTCTTCTCAGTCTTCCAAACTCTGTTGCTATGTTCAATCCGAGATTTGGTCTGCTATACGAAACAAATGAAATCTGATAATTTCAAGGCCTTCCTAGGAACTTCTGTTTTTCTGGACTAACTAAGGTTTGCCAATGCTAACTTATGACGTATTATACATATTTGGAATCAGAATTAAAAACTCTACTCGTGTGCGCAAAACTTCATTATGGCGTCTATGAGAAAAAATAAAGTTGATGCTGGAGGACAAGGGATGAAACGTCATATCGAAATTCTAGTTATGGAACCTTGTAGAAGAGAACTAGTGGCAATGTTAATGTGCAATTGATTCTGAAATACCACTGCAAATAAAGTCAGGAGCTGATTAAAACGATTTTGGAAAAAATTGGATCAACACTTTCTAATTTCAACGCCACCCAGGGGCGACAATTTTCGTATTTATTGGCTATGCTGCTCTAGGTACATGTACCAAAAACTCAAATCCATATCTTAACATAATTTCAAATATGTATTCTTTTGGAACTCGAAATCAAAACTTCACCACCCCCCCGTATTTTGGCTTATAAGAACCTTCCTTGCTATCCCAGTAATATTGTCTTGATTTCCCGAATCACCTTGTATATGATGCTTTTGTATCAAGTTTCTATTATTTGTGATATGTACAGGGTGGGCCAAAAGTTCCTGACTGATTTTAAAAATTCATAAGTTTTTCCCAAGCTAACATATCTGATTTCTTTTTCAGATTTACAAAGTAGAGCTCTGGATATTTTAGAATGGAGTGACTTAATCTAATCCAGAGAACCAAAGTCGTACAATTTTACTATGAACATAATCATTCGATTGTAAACACCAAGAGAGCTTATCCAAGATTTTTTAATGTTCGAAACGCCCCATCCTCTGGGGCTATCCGCAGCATTATTCGGCGTTTTCAAACCCAGGGTTTTGTATCGGACCTTCCCTGAACTGGACGACCACATTTAGCTTTTACATAGAGAGAGTAGAGGAAAGTGTTCAGGAGGACCCCGAAATATCGACCACAAGAAGGTCAACTCAATTAGGCCTATCCAGGACATCCCTCAGAAGAATTTTGAAACATTTGCGGATGTTTCCTTGCAAATTTCAAATGGTTCAGCACTTACGACTACAAGATTATGCACAACAACTAAATTATGCCATTCGTTTTCAGCAATTGGTTAGAGAGGAAGAACATTTTTTAAATCGTCTAATAATTTGGTGGTGTTACCACCCAGGGTATTATTGGGCCTCATTTCTTTCAAAATGACGATGGAACTGCGGTGACTGTTACTGGCCAGAGGTACAGAGCTATGCTTGAAAATTTTTTGATTCCAGCGCTTGAAAATAGACCTGATATGTGGTTCCAACAGGATGGAGCCAAAGCGCATACAGCAGGAGCCACAATGGCATTGCTAAGAGGCTTCTTTGGAGAACGTCTGATTTCAAAAAGATCGGCAATTGAATATCCCCCACGTTCCCCTGATTTAACCGCGCCAGATTCTTATCTATGGGGATATTTGAAAGAAAGAGTTTACCGCAATAAACCTCGAACCTTACGACAACTTATGGACAATATCATAATGGAAATTCGAGCCATAAATCGGAAAACATTGGAGGCAGTTATGGACAATGTATTGGAAAGGAATGTTATGTGTGAAAAAGAAAATGGCCGTCACTTACGCGACATTATTTTTCAAACTTAATACGAAAAAAAACTCCAATAAATATATTTTATTTTTGTAAAAACTACATAAAAAAATATTAATAAATATAAAGGTTATTAAAGTTTAAAATAGGTCAGCTTCTTTTGGCCCACCCTGTATTTGCTTGATCGGGCGTTCAGGACAAAGTGGATAATCTGTATCTGTCTGTATTCTGTTATACCGTTTGTTTCTTGAACGTATTTCTCGTTTCTGTGATAATCAGCATTTCTGTAATAATAGCTGTTCACTTTGTCTGGATCTCATCCACTCAGTATCATCATGATGGTTTCCCGTTGGAGGGACAGGACTTATCAAATTAAGTTCTTAACACCGAGGATCCAAAATGGTTAACAGATGAGAATTTCGAGGTCTGTCATGCGGATATTACCGGAATCGATTTTGCAAACCAAAATCGCTACCCGGACTATGTCTACACATGCTGTACGATCGACCGTTCAAATACTCTACGTCTTAAGTTTAATTCACCATGAAATTGCTACTTTTTAACCACTACCAAACAGTGAACCATATTAACAACGCGCTAAAATACATTCGTCATCTTAAAATGTAAATGTAACAGTTTTTTCCCTCCCCGTCAACCTTTAAGGTCACATTACTAATCAACTCAATTTTCCTAGTATAAATAGTAAAATCGGTCTAACGGTGGTCAGTATCGGTTCTCACGCCTTCCAATACCATGTTTAGACTGATCTGTAGCTTCGGCCTGCTTGCGCAGCTTGCAACTTCCAAATTCGTCTCCCCTGAGTTGGGTCTGGGAGGTGCCGGAGAGTTTCACCACCCTGCGGAGTTCCAACAGCACGACTTCTCCCATGGTGTAGGCAAGATATCGCATTACGGAGGATATGGAGGGCTTGGCGAAGAGCCCAAGTTCGAAGGCATCACCAAGGTGTTCGAGCTCGGACCTGGAGAGATCGATATTCCCAAGGCTGCAGGACTTGGATTCGGACATGGATTTGAAGGAGGTTTTGGACACCACGCGTAAGTAATACTTGATTTAAAATACATATTTTGGAAGCTGCTTTTCTAGTGGAAAAACATTCTGAATTACCTGCTGAAGCTATAACAATCAATTCCAAATTTTCCAGTTTTACACAAATTCTTACGAATTTACCTTGAGGAACATTTTTATTTGTTTAATTCAATTTGTACTCAAGCTCCTCTGAATTACCTTGTCAGTGGCGACGGTTAAAATGCGGGATTACCCATTTTTAAAATTCAGTTGCTTGATTTTGAAAATTACATTTTTGAGCTTTGACGCAAATATTAAATAAAATTCAAATCGAACTTTTATCATCAATTTATTTAGCTCCAAAATCTTAATAGTGTTTTGAACTGTTGCAATTGTGGGTGTTAAATATCTAGTTTAAAGAAAGCCTCAATTTTCGTAAGTAATGATTAGTTTTTTAAAATAACTTTTGCGGAGCAATAAAACTGCTTGATGCAGTGTTCCATACCCATAAATATGTCAATCCCTTAAAAGGGCAAATCCATAAATTTTTTAAGTTCATCTAACAAATGTATTTTGATGAGTGGTTTGAGAGTTGTGAATATTTTAAAAATGTGTCCATAGTAATCGATTATTAGTTTTCTTCAATTGTCTTTGTGTCTATATCGTCCATCTATGGCTGTACCACGTATAAATGAAGTAATAAAATTTTTGGGAATAAATATGGATTTCAGGAGGATGAGTAACTCAGAGGTCATTAAAAGCAAAAGCTTTGCGAAATATCAAGGAGCCGTTAATAGAGAAAATATTTTTTTATTATTCATTACCCGGATCCTGTACGTATTTGTGACTTCTCGTAATACAATCACTTGAATATTTAATTTGTATGAGCTAATCTGCCAGAAACACTTTTTTTTTATCGTACATTTTTTCATTTACGGCGGATTGCGCCAGCTTCAGTATAAAAATAGGTACATTTGTGTGTTCACAAAACTAATGAAAAGTCCTTTTCGTTCTTGCTCTGGAAGTGTTACTTTTTAAAATATACTGTGAAAGCGAGTAAATGAACCAGGAAAAATCGCGATTCTTTAAAACCTTTTCACGAAATTTCCTTTTCTAGCCTCTTTTTGTTCTGAAAAGACTTTAATTCATATTTGAGCTTCTTCAGAAAAAACCTCTGAATAAAGTCTGGCTCACCTGATTCTGGTTTCTCTTGACATGAATGGACGCGCCATGAGAGGAACCTGGCAAATCATCTACCTATTTTTTTAATATTTCTTCTTCCTGTCTATAAAATCGCTTAATCAGATTAGATGCATAAAAAAACGGTATGCTTGGATATTTTTCACTACTTATTCAATCTATTCTTCTTCCTTTCAGACCCATTCACTTTTCCCAACAGCCGATCCACATTCCTCAACAACCCATCCACATTCCCCAGCAACCAATCCACATTCCTCATCACCAGCCTATCCATGTCCAGCCCATCTACATCAAGCAGCAACCTATTGGAGGCGGTGAGCTAGAGAAGAGCCAATTCAGCGAGGCCCAAAAGAAATTCGCCGAAGAGCAGTTCCAGAAGAAACATGGATCAAGCGGGGACAAGGCCTCAGCTGGAGATTCAGGGTATGTAGAACACTCTTGGGCATATGAGCACAGTAGATCTTGGAAAAAGACGCACTATCAGTTCCTTGAGTTGCATTTTCCCAAGTTGATTCACAGACATTTTTATCTAAGGAATGAATCGTTTTTGGATTGCAGGTACTTCATTGGAAAGATCCAACAGGGTGGTGCTAAGGGTGGTAAGGGATACTTCCAGGAGGCTGAGGGTGGTAACGAACACTTCCAGAAGGGTAAACATTACCATGGCGGAGAAAAGGTAGAGAAAGAAGGTGAGTAAAATCATGAAGCATGCCCTTTGGTGTCACTCAAAAGACAGGAGATTCGTATGGTCAAGCTGTGGGTATTATGTGTAAAAGAACTGGAAGTATGGCTTAGCATGTCAAAGAGAGATCTGGAAGATGCTAGAGCTATCTAACAGACAGGGGAAAAGACAAACATGCATTTATAGAACTACTTTCAAGCGAGTTATCGAATTCATCTTCCTTTCTGTTTCTTGTCTTCTAACTAATACCAACGCATAATCTCAAACCGATCTCTCACCAACGGCTGGTAGCTGATCTTTCGAATATCTGTCGTGATTCCGTCGCAAATCGCTCCTATGAGCTCTTCGTCAAGATGTCGCTACGCTCTAGGTCTGCTAAACCAAACCGCCAGGAAAATGGCATAATTTAAGATGTACGGAAACATTAACTCGATTTTGTTGGATTGTAGGTGAGACTGGGGGCAAACATCACGCCAAAACTGGCCACAAGAAGGGTCATTCCGTGAAGGGATTCAAGAAATCCCATCATTTGGACGAAAATGGCAAAGAAGAGCAGTTCTACGACCAAGCTCACAACGAGGGCGGAAACTACGAATTCGGAGGCCACAACGGCAAATTCGGACATCTTTCTGGAGCCTCTTACAAGGGAGGAGAGGAAGGAGGCAAATTCGCCTTCGGAAAGAAGGGCAAAGAAGGCTTCTACGAGAACTCTGCTGCCAACAAGAAAGAGCACGCTGGTCAAGACAAATACTCCGGAGATAAGTTCGCTGAAAACGCTGCCGCCTACGGTTTCGAAAAAGACTTCTCATCCCATGGAGGAGAAGGAGAAAGCGAACACAGCAAGTCATTCGAGAAGAGCCCGTACTTCCACCATTAAGCCCCTCTTACTCTAGGTGATCTTTGTACTGATGTCGGACGAGCATAAGAAAATCAAAAAAAAAATATTTATATCGAAAATGTGATCTAGTAGAGTAGTGATCCGATGTTTGGACGAAGTTATCTGATTTGACGGACGGATGACCATATGTTGTTGACCTGTTATGATGCATGGTGGGGAAATGTATCAGACTTTTCTTGTAACATTCTCACATGCCATACATTACCACGTAATGTTGATACGTTGTAAATACGTTTATTTAATTTTGTAGGAGAATAAAATGTTAGTTATTGCAGTTACAGCTTTGTACTTAGTAGTTAGTGTACCTCGCCTCCCAAGAAGTATATACAAAACATAAGAGTCGAACTAAAAAGTGAAAGGACGTAATTAAGTATATGATTAAGAATATTGCACAGTTTGCACTACTCGCTCGCACGACATCTGCACAAAGTTTACTTATTGGTGAAGAAATGGTATATGGTGTGAAAGGCTACTGATTGTGCTTTCCCTTCTTTTCCTTGGAATGACATATCTCCGATGAAGTGGCAGTGGTATTGTCTAACGTATCTCCAGGATACTTGTCCAGATTAGCAACAGGTTCTTCCATAAGATGATTTGCTTCCTTTCGCTTGCTCTTAATGGAAGCCTCTGTCTTGCTGCCTTGTTGTGAGCTCCAATGTATTGCTTAGCCATTCTCTCCAAAATGTTGGGGATTCTTGGAAGCTTCAAGAAATCTTCGTGAAACTTTTTGACCTTACAGTGTATGCTTTTATCCATCCATCAGCACATAAGGCTTAGTGTGAAACTTATTCTAATGGTTGTCTCTCTAATGAATCTACATCAGTCTGACCAATTAATAAAACCACTCATAGAAAAAAATAACATTTAGGCTACCACAGTAGCTTTTCTGAAGTAACCAAAATGAAAAAGAAGTTATGAGCAAGAATGGCCAGGCAAGGAAAGATCAAATAGCTCTCTGTAAAGAGTTGCATGAACAATGCATCACTTATTAGGATGCGAATAAAGCTTTACTTTCAGCCCAACATTTTATAGAAACAATATATTTTAATTGTTTTATATAACTTCTGAGGTCACAGCCTAAATGTGTTTCTTCTTTAAATGAAATGTCCTATACAGTCCTCTAATATTTGACATACGCTTGTGTCTTTTTGAAGAGAAATATTGATAACACAAACATTCAAAGTTTTCGCAGTTATTGATACACTACTTTGGCGAAACTTCAAGAGCTCATAGGTCTATGCTCTTGAAATATATGCTGTGCAACATTGTGTCAAAATATTTTTTTAGCTCGAGTTTTTTCAGTGAAGCATTTTGTAGAATTGGATCCGTTTTTTGGGATCAAAAGATACAGGCTACAGGAATGTTTCCATACAAAACTCTATACCGAATCTTGTTGTTGTTTTTTAGACAAGAACTGACCAACAAACTAATTTGTACGTGATATCAGTCATTTTATGACTCCTATATATAGCCAATACTCGTGGCTATTGAAAAAGCACAAAAGAAATTTTTGAAATTCATAGCTTTTAAAATCTATCTGTACTTTTCTTGCACAAGCTTTTCAATGGAAAAGTAGATTGTCCTGTATTGTTAGCTCAAGTAGAAAATACTTTCCTGTGCAAAAGAGCTCAAACTAACTTACTATTAAAGGCTCCGATTAATTTTATGTGCCGAAATGCCAAGAAAATTTCAATTGTATGTGATATTTCTCACTGCAGTGTCTGTGAATTAAAGAATAAATCTAGAGCCCATCTATGATGGGTTTTGGTCAAGTTTTTCATGTTTCTTCTATTTCTGTATTTTTTTTGTTTTTACAAGATATTTTCATTTTGTAAGCGGTACTACTGCTTCTTGCTCTGTAAATGGTAATCACTATTGGGATATAAACGCATTATTATTATTTAGTTTAAAATTGTACGCCTCAATATATAGGACGTTCCATTTAAACGATGAAAAAGTGCTTCTATACTGGATTTTCCATAGAAAAACGAAGGCTCCAGAAATAGTTTCATTCCGATAGCTTTTATACTGGAAACAAATGAGTAAAAACACACATGAGGCAAAGGTATTGGGACCGCCTAAATTTGAGGCAGCATATTTCCTTAATATTTCAAGACGCAAAAGAATTTTGATGTTACTTATTTCCATTAGCAATCTGCCTATCCTGTAATCATCAATTCAAAGAAATTAGATAGTCTTTACTGGTTTAAAACTCATAATAAGAGCCCACTAATTGGTTTTCTAATTTCGGAAAAAACTCCAATTTTAAGTCAGCAACATGAAATTTTTGCAATTGAATCCTTCGGGACATATGTATTTTAGATCGTCATCAATATTTTCTTTTTTGGTTTACTTGATTTTTTTTTCTAAAGTACAAGGTTTGCAATTTTAGCGTTTTTGTCTTCTATTTTCATTTCATATGAGCGCATTGTCGCAATACTTTCCAGTACAAATCTATGAAAATAGTTGAAACACATGAATATACAATCATTCTAAATTATACTTTTTTTTGGGCGTGAGTTTTGGACAAAGATGCAGAAAATGCGAAATTTGGGACTTCAAAGACATTCGCGCAATAAAATAAAAATGAAAATGTTGATGCTAGCTTACAACACATGTCCTGAAATGTGGTTATTATAGCTGTAGTTATTTTTAGGGCAGTAAAAACTTGTTGCGAACCTTAGTCACTTGAAAGCATCGATGAGGTGAGATGTAAAAATTCTGAATGATCTACATTTCTCGGCTTTAAAATGGAATTGGAACTTCGAAAAGTAACATAACAAATCTAATCTCACGACCTCTATGTTTTTAGGTGAAGTTGGAGAAAAACACCACGCCAAACAAGGTCACAGAAAAGGACACACCATCAAGGGTTTCAAGAAGTCCCACCATTTGGACGAAACTGGCAAGGAAGAGCAATTCTACGACGAGGCGCACAACGAAGGAGGACACTACGACTTCGGGGGGCACAAAGGCAGATTTGGACACACTTCTGGATCCTCGTACAAGGGAGGAGAGGAAGCTGGAAAATTCGCCGTTGGGAAGAACGGAAAAGAGGGCTTCTACGAGAACTCTGCTGCCAACAGGAAAGAACATGCTGGCCAGGATAAGTACTCTGGAGATAAGTTCGCCGAAAACGCAGCAGCTTACGGCTTTACCAAAGACTTCGCGTCTCATGGAGGCGAAGGAGAGAGTGAATCCAGCAAGTTCTTCAAGAAGAGTCCACATCACTTCCGTCGTTAGGATGATTCAAGATAGCCTGTCTTCGCCATGATGTCGGATGAGCATGAAGAAAAAAACAAAAAAAAAATGTTATACCTTCTAAAAATGTGATCTTAGTAGATGTAGTTAAATTCGATGTCTGGCCAGACAGGTATGAATTGTATGATGGTTTTACATGACAGTATTGTAAGGTACCATTTATATGGTAGCTTGATGTACTAGACCTATTTCTTTCTTTCTGCCATACATTACTGCGTAATGTGGTTACCCTGTATATACCTTAAATTAATTTTGTAGGGAAATAAAGTGTTCAATATGCAAAATAGGTGTTTTAACTATACACTTCAAAAAGCGTAGGTTTTCAAGTTAAACGTTATGAAGTCTCTACATGGGCATCCTTTTGTTGTAATTTGGCTATAACTGTAGCAGATATAGCTTAGTCACTACGAAACTACTGCAGCGCACGACCGGGATATACACACACATTGGGATCTCGAAAACTGTAAGAGATACGAAGTCGCTTAGGGGTAAAGCTGCGTATTTAGGTAATCAACAAAATACCGCATAGGAAGTTTCGTAATCTAAAGTACTTCCGAATAGAGAGTGAAAAAAGCCGAATTTACTAAAAATCCTTTTTCTTGTTCCTGGCTATTGCCAGACCAGACCGCGAGTTAAAAGCGGCAACAGAGCTTGGAAGACTGAGAAGAAAAGAAATAAATCGAGCAGTGATTAATCAACAGGGAAAAGTCAGACTTTGCCTACAAAACAACAGACAACATTTTGATCATATGCTATGGTTTACCTCTGCTCATTAATGATTGTTATTGTTATTACCATCAATAAAATTTTGATTTTGTGTTCAAGTTTCAACATACCTTTTTATTTCCCTATAATTTTTATCAAATTACAAATTCATAACCAGCTAAGGAAATGCAACACTGAATTTAGGACCATTTATGTACTCACTGAACTTATGACTGAAAAGTCCATTTAAATGTACAAAATTGCAATATAGTGTTCATATGAAAAAACAAAGTTGATGATGAAAGTCTAAGGAAGAAACGTCAAACTCTAAATTTGACTTCGCCATATTGTAGAGGATAATGAGTAACAATGATGACATGCAATTTATTTTAAAATCCAATCTCAAATAAGGCCAAGAAAAAATAAAAATAATTTAAGGATACATCTGGTATGCGAAACAAATGAATATCTGATCATTTCAAGGCCTACCTAGGAACTTATGACTGTTGGAAATACCTAAGGTTTGGCAATATCAATGTCTGACGAATTATACATTTTTGGAATCAGAATTGCAACTCCATTCATAAACAAAAATATGATGGATGACAAGAGAAGAAACGTCATATTAGAATTCCAATTATGCCATCTGGCAGAGGAGGAAAAGTGCCAATGCTGATGTGCAATTTATTTTGAAATACCACTACAAAGAAATTCAGGAAAAAATTAAAATGATTTTAGGAAGATTCGATTTTTTCCGTCTTTCTCCGAAAGCACTTTGAATTTCGAACCTCTCTAAGCGGCATTTTATTAATTGCCTAAATACACAAATTTGACCTTATTTAAGCTACTTCGTATTTACTTATTTATTTATTTATTTATAATTCCCAACAGGTTACACCCAATTACAGGAAATATGCTAACAACGAAAGTAAATCAATAATTTAACAACAGCAGAACATAAAAAAATAAAAAACACAAATAAATGGATACAATGGAATGCGAAAGGCTTTTGCGACCATAATAAAATGTTATTTGGTCGGTATTTGGGTAGCTAGGCCATCGTAAAGTACTTTTATTTGACGTTTCGCCAACACGAGTGGTTGGCATCTACTGGCTCACACCTTCAGAAGATGCCTACCAGTCGTGTTGGCGAAACGTCAAACAAACATATTTTACGACGGCCTAACTACCCAAAAACCGACCAAATAACATTAAATGGATACAGGTATGCCAACATTTGAAATGTGGGAATAGCTTTTATATATATATATATATATATATATATATATATATATATCACACCAATGTACCAATCTCGGTAACAATCCAATAGAGATATTTCTCGATCACAAAAAATATCATAAGAGGAACAAATCGCATTGAAACATCTACGCGTATAGTATAACGGTGATTTACACCCGATGTTTGTATTACTAATGTCAGGGTAAAACAAAGCGGCAATCAATTTGGTTGTTTAGTACTTTTTACAGGGTGTTCCTTAATGATATGCGAATAAAAATTTATGTTATTTTGCTTTATAAACTATGGTCCAAAAATGTTTCAATACAGAAACTCGGGGTGTTGAAGTTATAGGAAAAAAATGGAAATTAATTAATATTTTCAGAACCGCTCCAGATATTTCACTGATAGCTAGTACGTAGTAAAAGTTAATGAAGTTGCATATTTTTCAATGCAAAAATAATTTTTAGCTTTAACAGTGGCGTGCGTACGGATATTGACTTTGGTATTTTTTAAGAAAAAAATGATACGCCAATGGTTTTTTGCCAAATAGAAATCATTTTTGAATTCCCAGTTCAATTTAAAACAAATAATCTCTCTGTAATCGTTTTCCTTCGATTCGCCATTTTTGAGTAAAAAAATAAAAACCGTTTTATTGTCCGAGAAAATTAATGTAATAATTCAAGAATGCAATTTAGCAATACATATCTAGTTGCTGTGGAATATGCCACTGACTTTTGACATCTGACAAGTCTCTGTTATTTAAATCTGTTCACTATGACATATTTTCACTATTTAGTTTCTACAATCTTGTTAATAATGGTGAATTATTCAAATGCAGAAATGGCGGAAATGCATTACGTATATGGCCTTGCCGACGGTAATGGTGAGCAAGCCAGACGGACTTGCAAAATTATTATCAATTTGATTGGAAAAATTAAACACATTAGGGGTAATGAACATCAACAGCTGACAACATAAACATAACATTAAAACCAACGAAATGATTACAAATATTGTTGAAAATGGCCCCCTTCACTTAGTATGCATGCTTCTGCCCTCCTCATGGAATTGCGCACTCGTTGAAATATCCCTGGAGTGTTTTTTATTCTATCACAAGTTGCAACTATTCTTTCTCTTAATTCCTCTACAGTGTTAATGGGACTTGTTTACACTAGTTTCTTAAGATAGCCCCACAAAGATTAATCTAAACTGTTGAGGTCTGGGGACCTTGGTGGCCATTCTTGGGACCCACCGTGGCCAATCCAACGATTTGGATAAACAGTTTGTAAATAATTACGAACCATTACACTGAAATGCGCTGGTGCACCATCATGCATGTACCACATATTGTTCCTTATTACTAAAGGAACATCATCAAGAAGCAAAGGCAACTGTTGTTGAAGAAAATTGAGCTAATTCTGTCCGTCAAGTCGTCCCGGCAAGAAGAATGGGCCCATAAAGTGGTTGCCAATAATGCCTGCCCATACGTTAACCGAAAATTGGTGTTGAAAATGGGTTGCGGTTACGGCATAGGGATTTTGTTCTGCCCACAAATTATTATTATTATAAGTTCTGAATGGCATTTAGAGAAAAATTATCTTCGTCCGTAAACAGAATCATTGATTCAAATTGCGGATTTTGTGTAATTTTTTGAAGATACCACTGACAAAAGGTCACACGCCTTGGAAAATCAATGGGAAGTAATGCCTGTACTCTTAAAATGCAAAAGAAAAATCGGCTTAGATGGGATAAAGAACATAGCCAATGGACTCCTCAACAATGGTGTCGAATACAATGGAGTGATGAGGCCCGATTCGATGTTTGTGTTGGTGACAGTCGCAGTAGAGTTATTCGCAAAAAAATTAAGCATTCCATGTTGACTGTCTGAAAAGAAAAGTGAAATTTTCAGAATCCATTATGGTCTGGGGCAGTATGTCATCAAAAGGAGTAGGAAAACTTCATTTTATTGATGGAAATGTGGATACAAACAAATATTTGGCAATTTTAGAAGAATCGCTTTTACCAGTGATAGAAGAATGTTTGACATCCGGCCAAGATTTTGTGTTTCAGCAAGACGGTGCAGCGTACCATACCTCAAAAAAGGCTATAAAATGGATGGAAGAAAATAATGTACCACTTTTGAAATGGGTTTCTAGCAGTCCAGATCTGTCACCTATTGAAACTTTGTGGCACGAGATGAAAAAGGTTCTACCCCAACATGCTGCTCGTACAATCACCGAACTGAGACAAAAGCCTCAAGAAATATGGGATTGTTTTACACCAAATTTTTGCCAAAACTTGGTTAACACTATGCCCCAAAGAATTTCAGCCGTAATAATAAAGGTGATGTTACTCAATGGTAATCTTTCAACTGTTGCTTTGTTAACTTCGCGCATTTATTCGCACATTGTTTATTTGTTCAGATGTTCTATTAGTTATAGGTCTAAGTGATTTCAAATATGTATTTTTTATGACTAGAGTGAATCTAAAACATTTTGGAGAAAATAAATTGTTTTAGAAGTAAATAGTTTCGTCATGTTTAGTTTAGAAAGGCATATTTTGGTACAAATCTTGAAGTGGGCCAACTGAAGTGGGAAGGGGCTCGTATAGGATGTAGTTTTCTAGTAAATGACATAACCTTAGATTTAGAAATATTAATATTAAGTGTACTGTTAGAGCAGCATGAGTAGATAAAGCTCACGTAGTTTTGCAACGGAATGCAGTCATTGAGATTATTAATAACAGAATATATTTTCAAATCATTAGCATAAAGTACAGTAGATGCATGCATGGCAAGGACAGCGATAAATCACTAATTAAGATTATGAACAACAAAGGTCCTAAATTGGACCCCTGAGGTACACCAGATGTTGCTGTATAAGTCTTTGATTGATAGCCGCCATATTCCATGTACCTATCCAGGATATATGACTTTACGAGAAGCAGTAAAGGGTCAAACAAGCCAGCAGATTCGAGCTTAGTTAATAACAAGTAATGATCAATTTGATCAAAGGCCTTTCGAATGTCATATGTCATATGACATCCAACTGACCCTGATCATCCATTACTTCCTGCTTTCGAGATCCCACTGGTGAGGGTCGAATTTGAAACACCTTGTATACCTCGAATATTTTAGCGGCACCTCGTCTGCAATGTGCAGACTAGACACATATAGTGCATGGGCATACTCACCTCAAAACAGGAGGGAAGTGGCAGCTTCCTGTTTCACAAATCATATTTACTTTACTATTATTGATATGTTCCTTTATCATTTATACAGATCCCTTCACAGTGATATAACATTCAAATGCAAAATTTTAAAATCTATGATGAATTTTACTTTATTGCAAACTTTATATTGTAGACTTGGGTCAAACATTTCTGAGATATTCGACTTTTCCCAATTTTCTGGAAATATGCCCAAGAATTTAAAGGGGTACTTGAGAAATGAAATCAAAGTTTGCAATTTCATACATGCATTTCCTTCTTCCACGTCAATCGA